TAATAAATTGGATAATACGAGTGTAATGGTGACTAAAGGGTGTTTTTTCATGTCCTCTATGCTCTAACTACGAAAATATTTGATTTACAAATAAGGAATTCTACTTCGCGGAATTTCATTTATCACGGTGTGGTCTAGAACTGATTAACCGCGATAAATGAGGGTTCACTGTATACTGTTTTCTAAAATCGGAGTGGAGACAACCACTTTGGAGTTCTGAAACATGCCCCCAGGTCATTCCAGTTTACCTAGTCCTTTGAGTTAAGAGCTACCCAGTATTGGCCTTTTGCCTAAACCCAATTTCTGGGTTCCTTATTGTCCCGAGACTTGTCCCTGTGTTTTGAAGAACTTCTGTTGTCTTCTGAACAGTTAAATTCACATCCCAGCTGAAAACCCTTATCTTAACAGCAACAACAAAATACCTGCAATAAGGGAAGCAACAAAGCCCACATGGAAGAAGCACACCAGCCTGTGTGATCACGAGGGGGTAACACGATCTGGTATCAGAAGATCCAAAACAATCCTATAGATGTGAACAAGGGGCATCAGAGAGGAGACCCAAAGCCTATCTGTAGACAATTGGACATTCCCTCACAGAAGGGTCACAAGAAGGGCTGAGTCAGCCAGGGTGCAGTATAGCACCAATGAAACACACAGTCCTCTAGTTCTTGAATGCTTCCTCTTCCCCCCATGCCTGCCCACTATCATGACCCCAGGTCTACCTTACAAACCTGGCTAGACCGGAGCATGTACATTGGTACAGATAAGAGCTCTTGGCACATGGAATCCAGAACAGATAAGCCCCTTCCGGTACAGTAATGGTAGTAGTGATACCATGAGGGTAGGGGGAAGATGCAGGGGTAAGGGGGAGAAAGGGGAAACTGATCACAATGATCGACATATAAGGGGACAAACAACAGAAACATGGGTGAAGGGAGACAGCGGTCAGTATAATATATGAAAATAATAATCTATGATTTATTAAGAGTTCAGGAGGAGAGGAGGATGGGGAAGGGAAGAGGGCTCAAGCAGGAAGAAATGTATTGAAAATGATGGTGGCAACATATGTACAAATGTGTGTGATATAATTGATGTATGGATTGTTCTAAGAGCTGTAAGAACCCCCATTAAAATGATTTATTTTTAAAAGTCTGCAATTAACAAAGTTCGTGGTGAGAACTGGTTAAGTGTAGCATTGGTGGGTGTCTATGAATGTTCTTTTATTTTTAGTTCATACACACGTGGGTTTATCCCAAAGGTTTAAAGAAGTGTGTGCAATCAGTGATGGCTGCATACACCCTCTCACGATCACGCTTGTCTCAGACGCATTAGGGTGCAACGGGGGGCGGGCTGCAGACACCAAAAACCAGAGGTCATGGCTGATATCCAATTTTTAACAACACTCAGGTGGACATCTCCCCCAAACAATGGAAGCTTGTGATAAGTTAACTGTCCCACATAGAACAGCAGTTCTTAGATGGATCAAGTGTTTTAAGGAAGACACCAAAGATGAGCTGAGAGCCCTGATCATGTTCCTACAGACTTTAAAAAATATATTATTTAATTGACTTTAATCAGGCATTGAGAGGGAAAATTTTCAGAGCCCAAGTGTTATGGATTGAATTGAACCCCCCAAAATACATGGTCTTAACTTTTTTTTTGAACATTTATTTTTTCCCATTTTATTGGTTCACAATTTACATATCATACAATAGTTCATTCATTCAATCGTATCAAGGGCAGTGTACAGTCACTGTCGACCTTGGAGCACCCCAGGCTTTTTTGTTCCCCAAACTCAAGATTTCAGAAGAACATGATTTGAGCCCTTCAGGGATGCCAACACTGTCATTTTGAGAGGGCGTCCGTCAAAGAAGGCAGAAGCAGCCTTTGCAGGTGGATTAAAAATGGAAACTCCACCTTCCAAAGTAGACAGACCGACATGTTTACGAATGTTCTGATGACGACGCATCAATTCGATCCTGGTGGGTGGTCTGGTCCCCGGAAGTGGCATTCCGAAATGTAACAGAACAGTCGCTGCCGGAGGGGACTGGTTCAGAAGAGATGTCTTTGGAAAGGATGGATTTCTGGCTTCGGCAATGATTCAGCGCAGGCGGCCCTCTTGCTAGATGCTATTTCCATCAAATGCAGGAAAGCAGCGATGGTGCTCATTTGGAACAATCTGTTCTCTCTGGCATGGACACCTCTCTTCAGCCGTGGCAGGAGACAATGGCCGATGCTCCCTCTACAGAAAGGCTGTCACAGAAGCCGGGGGCTGTGTCATCCAGAGATAACGCTGTTACAAAGAGGCCCTTCATTTCTGAGGCACAAGGTTGTCCCGGTGTCATTGCCCTTGGCCATCCAGACTCATCTTTGCACTGCTGTTCACATTGAACTGAAACACCTGCAAGACCTGGTCTCGTCTTATCCTCTCAGAAACATGCCTCATTCATGTTCTCCAGGTGTTAATAACCGCTGCCATCCACTCGACTCTGGCTCACAGCCACCCAGTACAGCAGTGGTTCGTAACCTTCCTCATGCCATGACCCTGTAGTACAGTTTGTGTTGTGGTGACCCCCCCCACCCCATAAAACTATTTCGTTGCTACTTCAAACTTTGATTTTGCTACTGTTATGAATCGGGTGACCCCTGTGAAAGGGTTGTTCAACTCCCAAAGGGGTCGTGACCCACAGGTTGAGAACTGCTGCAAAAGAGGGTTTGGGGTTTGGTTTTAAATCTCTACTGGATCCGACGGCCTCATCTTTCTCCTTCAGTGACTAGCGGGTTTCGAGCTGCCAAATAACAGACCAGTGCTTACCCGACAGCACCATTAAGGGGGCTTATTTTCATGTGCTAATGGTCCCCTCCTCAAAATTACAAACGCATGTAATACTCATTCTTAAGTTATGACAGTAAATCTACAGAAGGAACATTGAGGGATTTAGCAGAATGGTTAGCGTACATGCTTGGGAGGCCATGGGTTTGAATCCCAGCTCTGGCTTCTACCAGTTGGAAAGCCTTGGAGAAGTTACTTGGTTTCCCTGTGCCTGTTTTCTCATCAGTAAGCTGCGACTAGCAGCCCACAGGACTGCAGTAGGACATAAATGTAGGAATTCAGAGTGCTTACAACAGGGCCGGCCCGGCATATGGGCCAGTCTCAGTCAATGGGGGTCATCATTATCAGCTCTGACTTTAAATTCACTAAGAACTCACATTATAAACCTTACATCTACTGAATAGAATATAAGGAAATATGAAAGTGTGTCATCTTAAGAGCTAAAGGAACACTAATACATCAAGAACCAGGAAAGTTTCAAGAATAAACTGGAGGAACGAGAACCGGAGTTGTAGGTGTGATGGTCCTGTCAATGCCCAGTGACTCCACGCCGCCCTTGCTCCCCTCCTGCAGGAAGGACGTCATCTGCACAATCACTCAATCTCCTCCAGTCCGTGTTGTTGCTGTGTGCCAATGAGCTCAATCCAACACATGGTGACTCTCACTCACGCACTGCCAAGGAGCTGGGGCCCTATAGGACAGGGGAGGGCTGCCCTGTGGGTTTCCGAAATGAGATTGTCAACTTTTTTGTTTAATCATTCAATCATGCATTTATTTATTTTTAAGTTTTAGTGGCACTTCACCCACGTCATACAATTCAATAATTCGATCCTATCAAGAAGAGTTGTGCACTTACCACTGCAAGCAATTCTAAAACATTTTCTTCTTCCATGACGACTTTAAGTCTTTAAGGAGTGGAAACCCTTGTCCTCCTCCCATGGTGACCCTAGAAGACGTACAGAGCTGCCTCCTTGGGCTACCTAGGCTAGTCTCCTGATGGAAGTAGGTCCCCAGGTTTTTTCTCCCATGTAACTTCTAGTGGGTTTGAACTGCCAACCTTTGGTTTGCAACCCTGTGCTTCACAACTGCGCTAGCAGGGCTCCTTCACTTCCAGCCTCCAGGTTGTTGTTAGGAGCCATGCAGTCCATTCTGCCTCGTGGCGACTCTCTCGACAAGAGAAAGAAACGACGCCAGTCCTCGGCCATCCTCACAGTTGTGGATGTCTGAGCCCAGTGTTGCAGCCACTGCTGTCAATCCACGTCCTCAAGAGTCTTCCTCATGGCTGCTGCCCTTCTACCAAACAGCATCCCATCGTTCCTTGAGTTCAACTCTGTTCCGTCTGAACATCATAGCATCTGAGCAAAATATCAATAAAGCTCAAACAATCTGGATGGAGCTAAGAAATTGAGCGGTCACGTGAGCTGATTCTAAAGGACAAGACAGTGAGCTGACCCCTGGAACATAGCTCCTGGGTGAACAGTGCAATGGTGATCCCACTAAGCCAGTCAGAGTCAAACTCAAGCCTGTCCCAAGTGTCCGGGCCACCCGACGTAACCGATAAAGCCCAGCCTTCCCAGGGATGACCACAGCAAAGCCTCCTAGCCTGCGACTTCCTGCCTTACACCAATTTTCTCCTGTTAACAAAGTGACGGCTCAGAAGCACCTCTTTGGGAAGACTGGCAGCACAGCATCTCAAATACAGTGAAAATAATGATTACTTGATTTCCAGGACTCTTGGATTTCTTGTTTGGACCATGATGCATGAAATAAAAACACAAGAGAAATGCAGAATGATGGTGAGACACACTGATTTATTGTAAAGTACAATATCAGGGGAAATGCAAGGTGCCTCAAAAAATATTTCATAAAAAATAGTTTGAAGTACAATTAGCTCTAAATAAAGGTTCTCCCTAAGATACGCCCAGACTTCTAACACCACACCAGTGTAGTTGGGCAGGCGGATTTCCACTCCTTTAATCCACACGATGGCTAATGGCCAGCCTAAGAACACTAAGAACGTACAATAAAATAGTTCTTACACATTAGACACAGGCAGTTACCATCAGCAGGAGGAACGGTTTCGTGGTCTAATTACAAATGCGTAGGTCCCCGAGTTTGTAATCTTCCTACGTTATTATTAAAAATGCTCATTTCATATTCCGATTTAACCTCTTTTATGCTCCACTTCCACTCGTACCAAGCAGACATCCGTCTGTTAGTCTCTCTCTCTCTCTCTCTCACACACACACACACACACAGCTCCCTCCCTTGTGGAATGGCCCTTTGTAGGAACACATCGCGTCTCAGGAGCAATCAGAGTGTAGCAAAGTGCTGCTTCAGCTGTTTAATTAAGTGCTGCGTGTCCACATGCTCTGGAAACGCCTCCTTGGACTTCTGAGCCGCAACGTAGCTTCTCTGCAGATCCCCGGTCTGGACGAAACACCAGCAGAAGAGCAGGAGGTGGGAGTTGGGGTTGGGGAATGAGTAGAGAAATTTTAAAAAGAGACATGTATCTACACAATGCAAAAATTCAAAGCATTCTTCAGCGTCAACTTGCGTATTATTACTCTGATTTTAGAATCCTCTCACCCAGATTATAATTAAATCATGAAAAAAAACCATGGGAAAGTCAAAATAACCAACTGCAACAAATGATTTCTGTTCCAGGTCCGTCAGAACTGCCTGGTTACGTCGTCTGTTCCCATCACTGACAGGATTATCACCATAAAATGACATCGGCGTGCCAGAGCAGCCGTCCCTTCCACTGCTCAGGAAAGCTATTTGCAATGTACTCCAGAAACATGACTCAGACAGGGGAATCATCTGTCAGGCATGCATGCCATGCAAAAAAAATACAACAAAACCCATTTCATTTATATTACAGTCACATGACGAGGGAGGTTTGACAGCAGCACAATCATGTTGGAAAAATAACCGTGGGAACCGTGCAAAAGGGAGGCTCTGATGTCCTGTGAACTTCGCGTCAAAGACAGATTCCCAAAGGAAAACACCCGCCATCTGAATCTCCCAGAGGCACCTGGGTTCCTGTACCACTCATAAAGCAGGGGAGATTTTCTAGGGTGGGAAACGCACCGTTCCTTTCTGACCATTTCTGAGTAACATGTCTGTGGGTTGGAAACATAAGTAAGGTTGCCTTTTAAAGATCAGCACGTCTGTTTTCAAGCCAGTTTTCTGTCCACTTGGGTGCTACCCTGGTGTGATGCGGACGTGATCGAATCCCTAGGGTGGTGTGCAAGAAAAGCATGAGCACGTGACCGAGGGAAATTCTTCGGCCTCTCTGCACCTCAGACTGCAGGAGAAGGGAAGGTGCCTGAGGGCGACTTAGCTACTGCTGCAGCCCTGCTGCCAGGGACAGTGCCTAGTGCACAGACCCTCCATGAGCACAGTATCAGTTCAATGAACATTTTAAAAATTGAGTAGGGAAAGGCAAGGGGTGCCAGGGTTGCTGGGAGAACTAGAAAAGGTGAGCCCAGCACCTAGTTAGCATTTCCCAGGGGCTCGGGAGGGCTCAAAAATGACGACGGATTTTATTTCCAAAATAGAAACGGGAAGGAGGATTGTTTCATGTTTGTGCTATCAAAATGAACATTTTTACCAGGTTTTTCGGACTGCAAAGGTTCTTCCTGCCAGCCATTAAGCAGCTGTGGTAGTTACATAAACTGCTGTCAATCTGAGAGGATTAAGAGTGAAGGGGTGGCATTTAGCCTGTCGATCAGGTGGCAGCTTAATGACCTCATTTGGAGGCGCTAATGAGATAGAGGCGGGGCACATGCTCACTCCCTGGGAGACATTGCAGCTGACAACACACATGGAACGACGCTAGTGCCCTGAGCTGGAGGAGCCATGGAGAGGCCCCTGCCAGCACTAAGATGCTTGCAACACCACTGGATCCACAAGACTTTTCACCCACTGCCCTGTGATCTTCCTGCATTCGGCATCATTTCATGTGTTTCGTGAGTCTGAAGAGGACTTTAGTATCGGACATAGGGGCTAATATTGGACTTGTGTACTTGATCTGGACTGGGCTGGGATGTTTTTGCAATATTCAATTGCTCTTGTATATAAAGCTCTTTCTTGTGTACATATGAATGTCTTTGGATTTTATTTCTCTAGTCTGCCTGGACTAACACCACAGCCAGCGTTGTTAGCCATCTCCTTTGCCTCCCAAAGTCTCTCCCCTGTTCCTGCTACAGGAATGTTTCCCAGGAAAAGTGTCAGGACTAACGGTGACACTCACACGGTGAGTAAGTGATTCAATCCTTCACCGTGGTATCTTCAGGGACTAGCTTCCTCTTGAGAAAGAAAAATTAAAAACAAAACATAGCCAGACAAGAGGGCCCAGGAACCCAGGAAGGCTCACATGTGAACAAGAACAATGATTCATTACCAAGTATCCTGAAAAACTCTGACTGAATAGCCAAGAGTATAAAGAGGTGGAAGTTAAGTCAATGCTTCTGCTTGCTTTCTCTTTATGTTAAATTTGGCACATGGCTCCTTTAGCCTTTGGATCACAACTGACTTGCCCCAGTCATAACTGGTCCTAGCTAAAATGTTGCCGCTGTCATCAGGTTGTGACTCACAGCGACCCCTATGGGCAATAGAGGGAAACACCGTGTGGTCCTGCTCCGTCCTCATGATCAGACAAGGTGAAGCCCACTGTTGCAGCCACTGTGTCAATCCGTCTTGTTGAAGGTCTTCCTCTGAAACAGCATCCCTAATATTCTCCATTGCACAACGGGACGAGAATGTTGGGAGTGATGTGATCTGTAATCTGGATCCTATGCAGGGCTCCCTGGATATAAGCAATTTCAAAGCCCCTCCAACACCAGGTGACTGACTGAGCACCCCTTTGATGGTGACATGATGTATTTTGAAGTCCACAAAATAAGTCCACCGATAATGATATTAAGTTTAGTCAGTATTCAAATGATACATTTCTTTAAAGTTAATGAAACTGTGTTAAGTAACGATGTGTCTATGGTGGGGCAGATGGGGCAGGGGGCTTGTTTAAAAACTTCCAGGAAAAATCCCATTATCTTTTAACTCCATCTCTCTACAAACTTTACAAATCCCCATCGTAAAAGTGTGTAAAAAACCAAACTCCTTTCTCCCAGGAAGTGAAGGTTGGGGTTTCCTTATTTACTGCATTTGGCTTTACAGCAGACGAGAAGGAGAAACGGATGCGAGGCTAAATCAGTAAAGAAAGGAAGTACCTTGTCAGAGATGGTTGCAAAATTAAAATGCGGCTCGTACATGTGGGGGGCTAGAGATGATGCCGTTTGTAAGAGTGCCCTTGCCTGTAGAAAGAAAAAAGAAGAGTCAAAGATGGATGAGTATTTTCCAGAATCGCATCTGTGATCTTTACCTTTTCTAGGTTATCAACCCAATCTTGTGCTACCTGCAGGTAACATTCTTCATGAAATACGATAATTTACTGATATGCAAAGTACTACAGATATCTTTCCCAAATCATGTCAGTAATAAAATGCTTCAAGATAAGATTACCTAAGAGAATGGACAAGTGTGTGTTGTTCTGTACATGTGGACTAGGGGTGCCATAAAAAAAATTTTTTTTTTTTAAAACCAACAATAGAGAACAGCTCCGCTGACCATCAAGCAACTCGCTCTGAGTCAGTGCTCCCAATAGCATCATCTGGGAAGGTTCTCTCTGGTCACAGTGAATTTTTTCATAAAAGCAGTTTTGCTTGAACCTGTTTTTGTGGTGGTGGCTTTAAGAGAACAGCGTGCATCTGTGAAATTTTGTTTTCTGCTTGAGAAAAATGCCGCAGAAACTGCTGTGATGTTGAACATAGCTTAAAAGGACAGCACTAAGGAAAAAACTCAAGTGTATAAGTGGTTTTCTCATTTCAAAAAAGGTGAAATGTCGATTGATGACAAACCTTGTCCTGGACATCCAGAGGTTCTGAAAAGATAGCATAACAGTGTGCGACAACAAAGGCCTGATTTGTGGTAGATGGGGGACCGGTTTTGCTACCAAACAACGCACCTGCTTGTGCAGCCAACTCAGTGCACCAGTTTTTGGCAAAAAACAGCATGCCTCTCTTGCCCCACGCACCTTACTCACTTGACCTCACTCTGGGCAACTTTGTTTCCGTGAATGCAGAAGGACATGAAAGGACAGCGATTGGACAATGTAGAAGAGGTGAAGAAAAAAACGAGGGCGGTGCTGTCAGTCATCCAAACAGATGAGTTTGAAAAAATGTTTCCAAGAATGGAATCGCATATTTGACAAATGTACTAAGCATAATGGAGAATACTTTAAAGCTGATAAGGTTGTTTTGTAAAAAAATTTAAATACATACAGAGCGTTGGCAGGGGAAATTCCAGTTTTTAGTGTGTACAGCTGTGCATAGTTGTGCATGTCTATAATTCTGTGTACATGTGTACAGTGGTACATAGTTGTGTGTGTTTATAGTTCTGTGCATGTATATAGTTCTGTCATGTGTAAAGTTGTGTAAACAATGTATACAGTTGTGTAGGTTTACAGTTCTGTGTCTGTGTGTAGTTGTGTAGGCTTCTAGTTAGAGAACCATCCTCCTTAACGCTTTGATTCCCATTTATGTGAGTCTTCACATAGACTCACAATCACGACTGTGGACACAGGGAAAACCTGGAGAAGCCCCAGCTTCCTGTAAGGATGCAGTCACGAGCTGCGTAAGGAGCACATTATCATTTCAGAATCATCAACCTCTGTTTATAAAATGCAAACCCATCCTCTATTTACGTCAGGGACATCCATGGAGGACAGGACATTTCCGCCTTGTTCTGGGGAGCACGTATCGTCCTGCCTGTCAGGGCATTGGGCTGGAGGCTTGAGTCCTGGCTTGCTGCTGACCCTGCCTGTGACCCTGGGTAGAGCTGTCTCCCTCCGCCCAAGCTCACTTTTACCACCCCTAAAACGTAAATGCAGAAGCAAGCTGTGTATGAATTGTGATCTCCCTCTCTCAACTTTCACCCGAACCACAATAAAAACAAATGTTAAACAATAAAATATGACCACAATTAAAATAATAAAATGACCTATCGGAAACCAAAAGTGCCCTGGTGGTATAGTGGATTGACGTTGGGCTGCTAACCTCAAGGTCTGCTGTTCAAAACCAGCAGCCACTCACGGGGCTTTCTACTCCTGTAAAGAGGGTTCACCGTCTCGGAAACCCACACGGGCAGTTCTATCCTGTCCTGTAGGGTTGCTGAGAGTCGGAATCAGCTTGATGACAGAGAGAGGTGACCAAATGGCCAACAATCACTGTAAACCAAAGATAAGGATGGAAGGGGGCAAGGGCACCAGATCCATGGGTTCCCCGAACAGCCAGCAGGGAAACAAGGCGAACATTCATGAGTTGTGGAGCACTGACTTTCTGTCCCCGAGCAGCTGGCGCAGAAACTGTTGGAGGGGAATCCACGCTGCTGTGTAAACCTTCACGGGAAACACAGTAAAATACCACTTAAAAAGAAAGAGTAAGATGGGGGATGTAATATCTACATTCAACTGCCATGAATACTATGTAAATGTACTTTTCATTTTAAACTTCTGTTATAGAAGGAGAGTACCGTTTCTTAAGCACCTACTATGTGCTCGGTGCTATGCTTTCCCTGTGCCAGCAGTTCTCATAGACAGACCTTCCGGTTGGCAGGGGCATCACCCTACTTTATATATCGTCCCTCTTTTCACAAACGCTTACTGAGCACCTCCCGCGTGCTCGGCCCTGGTGTTGATGCTGCGAATACAGCAGGCATAGTCCAGAAACTGCTCCTGCTTCCATGCATCTGACAGTACAACTTCTACAAGTAACAGTGAAACTCCCTGATAAAATAAGAACTGGGGGTGGGGGGCTGAGGGCAGAACAGTGCTTGTGGACCAGCCAGGCAGCAGGAGGGTCGGGAAGAGGGTGGGAGAGGAGTGGCAGAAACGGTGCTTGGCGCAGGAGTCAGAGGCCGGATGACGTGTGGCCTTGCAGACTGGTGGAAGTCCACCTTTCATTATAAGTGGGAAGAGAAGCCAACAGAGGGTTTTAAGCACAGGCGCAATAAGGCCATCTTACGTAACATAACCTTCGGGTGTTCTGGGGAGGGTGCAAGAGAGAAGGCTGAAACAAAGGCAAAAGGACGGCTAGGAGGCTCTTGTCGTCTGGACAGGGATGATGGTGGGCTGGAGAAGGGGCGGGAGGCAGCGGTCACAGCAGGGCCTGCAGGGGGGCAGGACTGGCGGGGGGTGGATGGTGCCAGGAGCGCAGATGGAGCAGGGTAAAAGAACTCAGCTCCCAGCGGAAAGGCCAGAAGTCTACATCCATGAGCTGTGCCACAGAAGAAAACTGAGGCCGTCTGCTCTCAGAAATATTACTTCGAGGACTAAGGTGTGCCCGACCCAAGCCATGGTGTCTTCAATTGCCTCCTATGCCTGTGAGAGTTTAAGGAAGACCGAAGAATACTGAAAGTACCATGGGCTGCCAAAAGGACGTGCCGCTCTGTCTTGGAATTAGTATGGCCAGAGTGCTCCTTAGAGGCAAGGAGGACGAGAACCCAGCCTACATACTTTGGAATGTGGTCAGGATGGATCAGTCCCCAGAGAAGGGCATCAGACTTAGCAAAGGGGCAGCGAGACAGTTAGGCTGTCAATGAGACGGGCTGACGCTGTGGCTGCAACACCCCTGCTGTGAGGATGGCAATCGTGAGGGCGGTGCAGGGCCGGGAGGGCGGTGCTTCGTTCTGTGGTGCACGGGGTCCCGATGGGCTGGAACTGACTCGATGGCACCAAACAACAAGAAGGAGACTCTTGTTAAGATGACAGCCTGGGAAACTCCATGGGGCAGCTCTCCTCTGTCCTACCAGGTCACTGTGAATCAGAGCTGACGCCACAGGAACCAGCTTAACAGGGTGAGGAGGTTGGAGGACGTGCAGGAGGGGAGGGGAGGCTTCAAGGGCGGCACCGAGGGTCCCAGCCAACTAGAGTGTGGATGGGAGATGGCGAATGGAGGGAAGACGGGGGATGAGCTGCTTTGTCATAACAAAGTCACGTGTCCTCTGATGGGCTCCGAAAAGTTAATGAGCGTGCCCAAGGTCGCACGGCGAAGAAGCAACAGGGCTGGGATCCAAACACAGGCCTGATACAAATTATCGTGGGACGGCTCTTTGAAGGAGCAGACAGTCCCCACCCTCCTGCAGTTCACTCACCTGCTCCACGTGGCCCTTGCGCATCTCCAGCACAGCCAGGTTGTTGTAGGCCTCGGCGTGGTGGTTGTTATTGACCAGAGCCAACCGGAAGCACTGATGGGCCAAGTTCATGTCGCCTATCCCCTACAAAACAAGGGCACCTGTTCACCATGTGAAGCATCCTCCCACCCTCCCGCTCCTGCCACCTCCTCCCCCACTCCTCCTGTCAACCCCACTCCCACCCCACCCCCCCACCGCCCGCTGCAGCCAGGCCCCAGTTCTGCTAAGAGGTTTGAACTTGGTTGGGGGCATGAAATGAGTTGTGATGGCTGCAGGTGCCTGTAACTCCAAACTGAATTTACTGCCACTGAGTCGATTATGACTCACAGCAACCCTACAGGACAGAGTAGAACTGCCTCTGTAGGCTTCCGAGTCTGTAAAGCTTTCTGGGAGAGACAGCCTTGTCTTTCTCCCTCAGAGCATGCTGGTGGCCATGAACTGCTTCCCTTGTGGCTAGCAGCCCAGCAGGAAACCCAATATGCCACCTGAATTGACAACACCTGGGGGGCGTGGGGGATGACAGTCTTCATACGACCTCCTGGCCACCTTTCCTGTCAGAGAAAGCAGACTGGAGCAACAACACACCACAGCGACGTGTCCCACGTTGTACCAGACGTCGGCTGTCTCTTCTTCGTTCTCGGCCAGAGAAAGGGCGCGTTCGAACGAGGTCAGGGTCATATCGTACTGCTGGGCATAGAAGCAGCAGAGGCCCAGGTTGTTCAGGAGCTGGCAGCTGTAGACACCCATCTGCAGGAGTCGCCTTTGAGGGGAAACAGACCCGGAGTTTGGGTGTCAGTTCAAATTAGAATCTGAAACTGGTACAGATAGGAACTGAAAATACAGGGAATCCAGGACAGATGAGCCCTATAGGACCAGTGGTGTGAGTGGCAAAACAGGGAGGGTAAAGGGAGAATGGGTAGGAAAGAGGGAACCGATTACATGGA